CATGTCACCTGTGTCTGTATGAACATGTCACCTGTGTCTGTATGAACATGTCACCGATGTCTGTATGATCATGTCACCTGTGTCTGTATGATCATGTCACCTGTCTCTGTATTAACATGTCACCTGTGTTTGTATGAACATATCACCTGTGTCTGTATGAACATGTCACCTGTGTCTGTATGAACATGTCACCTGTGTCTGTATGAACATGTCACCTGTGTCTGTATGAACATGTCACCTGTGTCTACCTGCATGTTGGACCTATATATAACATCTTTGTTGTTGCCTTTGTGATAGTTAACTATAAAGGGGGTAGAACCAGTACACAAGAGTATTTTACTAAATACTGTTAGATTTAGTTGCTAAGAATTATTTTTCAAATTCAAGATGGAAATATTCCAGTTTTTAATATATTGGAGTTAAACAGGGCATTAAAGTTCACTGAAATTGCACTGATATTCCCTCTGAATTTTTTGCACACAGAATTTTGCACAAGTGTTTGTGTATTCAGTATAGCACATACATTACAGGTGATGGTATCGTTAAACAGTTCATCCCGATTGTTTGAGAATCCAGGACATATTGTATTCACATGTGACGTATTTGTATGTCTTCCCCGCGATTACCAGCATGCCATCACATATACTGTACTACATGTATTTCTTTTGCAGGAAAAAAACTCAGAAATATATAAAGAGTGTTGGCTGAAGGATGTGTTTTTAAGATAACTGCATTACCAGTATGATAATGATAAATATCAACATTGACATCATGACAGTAATGTCCGCTTTTGACCTTTGACCTTGTTGAATCTTAGAATTTGACTATGATTCAACTTAAATGTAATTGAAACTTTGTGCTTTTAACTAGTTTGTTAGGCTTAGTTGACTTTTGGCCTTTGAAGTGAATAGCAAGCAAGGAGATATAAAGTTGTTTCTAAATGTGTCATCTTTGACCTAAAGGAGGAGGTAACAACAGCCAAGAGAAAACTCCTCGCAGGAATAGTTGGCGAAACCGTCAAGATGTTCACCCATCGTCACTGAACAAAGTTGTGCGTGAGGAGAGGTAACTCGGCACATGGCCTCACCTGGCTGGCCCTACCTGTGGCTGCAAACCTCGTTTGTCATGCTGGACCTCGTTTTCATGTCTAGTTTTGATTTTGTTCAGTGATTTTTTTGTGGTTGTTTATTATTTCATCTTTTTTAATCTTGATGACTTACTTTGTTTGTTGTTGACCACAGTGTTGCCTCCCATATTGTCATACTGACATTGACACTTTACTGAAATCTTCAGTTTTACCGTTTATATGTTTTGCTGTTAAAGAGCTGTGATTGTGGTAGAGTGGTTATTTTTTACCTGTTGTTTATTAAACTATGACATGATTTGACTTCATTTTAATTACTGATCCATCATTTGTTGCCATGACAACACACTTACAATGATTCATCTGTCTGCATGCCTCTGCTAGATATCCCAACCCAAACCATCACAGGGTGTATCGCCATTGACCAGTAGCAGGTCAGACTGGTTCCTCGGGACTGGTGTTATTGTTCTTTGCATGACCAGACAGACTGACCTCAAAGGAGCAGCTCTCCAGTCTGCAACTGTGCATGTTACTCTCAAGTCAAGCTCACTAATAAACCTAGTCAATGTTCTACATTTTCATTTTGATAAAAGATTTTAATTGGATTGTTTGTAAATCTGTTAATAATATTATATGAAATTTATATAGCTACCACTATTAACTTATATGTACAATGTAATTTAACTTTATATGGATATCTATGAAAACATTCTTGAAAAAATCCTGATTGTGATGTAGGCTTGTACAGTACGGGCATGTCACAAAGCTATGGGAATCTAGACTTGTAGGCAGAGATGTTTCTGTTGAAGAACAGTACAAAACACAGAGTCCGACTGATTCAGGCCGTGTGTGCTCCTAAACTGATTAACTTATGCATTAATATTCATATTCATCATATAATCTATAAATGGTTTAACAAAAAAAACCACATGTCATCAGTATAATCTATAAACCATTAAAGTTTTCACATATTAATTTGTCATCTGTGAACCTTTTAACAAGCTCTGCTACTAATACACAAAGTAACATGGTTTTATCACATGGTTACCATATTTCTCGGTGAAAACACCCATGTCATATATTTTTTAATATGACGTCACAAATTATTATGGGGAGTTAGATGTAACGCCAAGATGATGGAATTTTACACTTCAAGAATGACTTTGATAACTTTGTTGCAATATGCATAAAAGTGTTGATCATCTGATTAAAGGGGCATTACATTAGTTTCCATTTCATATTGATTGATGGAGAACTGTTAATTATTCTCAAATGAAAAAGAAACTCGTGTAAAATCTTATATGTGTACTTAACAATGATAATTATTGATGATTGTGAGGAAACATAAAAATGATATCTCTTCTATTACTCATATACAATTTTCCTGAATTACCTGTAGCAGCAGATAAATAGCATGTTGTACAATGTAATATAATTTCTGTGTTACAGTACAGATAAGCAATGTGTGTTGGAGTCTTATTGTACATGTAAATTATGTATGTCTTTAACATGACCTGTCCATGGACTTGTGGTTGGAGCAATCATGTTGTGCTAACTGGTTTTAATTATTGACAATTGTTTTGTAGCGGGTGGCTCAACTTGTCATCGTCAGCCAAGAGAGAGAAAAACGAGACGGAGGACCTTATCTCATGGACATGACCCTGATTACAAGGTCAGTATATCACATAGACACTCATTCCAAGGACAAGGTCAATACTTCACCCTGATTCAAAGGTCAAGGTTGCAGCTAGGTCACGCTCCATCTATTCATTGTCATTTCCTGATTGCAGGAAACATGAGTATTATTTTTCTTATAGTAACTGTTTAAAGACTAGATCTCAGTAATATTATGAACCTTGTTATATATATGTCAATTTTTCAAAAGATCTAAAATAACTGTTCTTTGATAAAACATTGTGATCACAGTTGCTGAATCAACAAAATTTCTCTAAAACTGTGATAGTTATCAGGTGTTATAAATCTTACTTTACCCTATTTTTTCTAAAAAAAAATATTTCCCTGGTTTTTGACCTTCACACCAATGTCAGTTTACAGGCACTATTTCGCTATTTACTGATGGACTGTTTTATTTCAAGGGAGATGGTGAAGTGCTATATAAAAAGATTCAACATGCTACATCCTTTGATAGTCCGGAGCCTCGTGATGAGATGGACTTAGAACTGACTTATCGACAGATAGCTATGCAGAACAGCGCATGCACAGACTATCTCATTCCCCACACCCAGGGCACACCTAAGTATCTCCAGCTCATCCGTGACCCAGTGGACCGACGTATGCGCAAGACCTCACAGGGGTCAAGTCGACACAGTTCCTGTTCTAGTGATATATACTCCTTAAACTCCAGTCTGCAGGTGGCACTTCCACCCCTCAAGCAGTATGAATCTATCCATTCCATAGACTCTGACCACCATCTGTGTCCAGATGCCCCATACTCCCCGGTTAACAGCATTCCAGAGGGCTACGAATTCGTCCCTTATCCTTCCCATCTCACTAGAGATAAAACGGCCGCCCCTGATGGGTATGCTATTGTCAATGGCCCACCTAGGCGTGTGTCAAGCAGCAGTTCACATGATGGGAAGAGTGCTCCCAACATGCAGTGTGTTCCAAACAGTTCAGTTCCCGGAGGATATACTCCAGTGAATATCCCCTCTAAGAGCGGTTTCTCTGAGGGAACAAGCAGTAGTGCTGAGGTGATCATCAGTTACCCGCGGGCCTCGGTAGATCGTGGCTACAGTAGTGCAGAGGCACGCCTCTATTACACGGGGCCTGACTCTAACCTAGCAAACAACCTTAAAAACAAGTCCAAACCTATCTACCCCCACATCGCTCTCACAGACAGCAGGAACTATGTAGACTGTAACCGGAACAAGGCCTCCTATCTCAGCCTCGCTTCTAAGTCTGACTGTTCTCACCTTACACAGAACTTTGACCCTGCCAAACTACAGGCATACTGGGCCAGTAACAGTCGCATCCCAGGGGGTCAGGACTCCAAGATCCCTGGGGGGCGGTCCCGGGGGCAGGTCTACCCACTTGGAGAGGCCCTGGTGACAGGATACTCAGACGTACAGGCCAGTCTGGTGTGACACAGGACCAGGGACATCTCATAGGTGTAACGCAAATAAAGGATTGAATCACAAGTGTTTATGACATCAGGAAATGTCATTGGTGTTTAGTGGACATAGATATGTCTCAAAATGATATATTAGATGATAGGGACATCTCAAAAGATTATAGGACATTAGGGATGTCTCAAATGATATCTTTAACATTTACTCATTCACCCCTGAAGACACATGTGAACCCTTCCAATTCAAATGTTGGAATAGTTCATTATGAAATATCAGGGGGGAAGAGTAAAGGTTATCTCAGAAGTTAATTTAAGACATAAATGATATCTCAAAATGCTACACAAATACTCCTATTTGTAGCTGTGACATTAGGAATGTCTCGAAATGATGAATTTGACACCGAGATGTGTTAAGCTCAAAAGTGTTACTCTTAAAGAGTGGAACAATTTCAGAATCATGTGTGTGAAATGTTGTAATTTTATGTTGATAAGGATCATGTCTCGCTGTTTACCAGATAGGTTGTCTCCACATCCACGACATAGCTCAGCCTATTTAGGTTCCTTCATGTTTTACTGTGTGAAATGTTGTAATCTTATGTTGATAAAGATCATGTCTCGCTGTATACCGGATAGGTTGTCTCTACATCCACGACATAGCTCAGCCTATTTAGGTTCCTTCATGTTTTACTGTGTGAAAATGAATGCCACAATTATGATTTAATAACACATTACCATTTTAACTATTTCCCGGATGCTGTATAATGTTACCTGTCAATCAAACTGTTGTATGTGATTTGTTGAAATGCACTGTTGACCTTTTATTACATCATATTTCATGAAAACAAGTGGTCATATAGAAATGTCAGGCTATCAAAGAGTGGAGCGTTATTTTTAGAAAGTATTTCATGTTGAAAGAAGTAAGATGAAAGATTCCACAGTATTGCCAAACAATTAGTGAAACCAAAGATTCCCAGAGTCGTGGTGTAAATCAGTGTTCTGTTAGTCTTATTATAGTCTTATTATAAATAGTAGTCTTGTTCTAGTTTTTTTTAAATAATACCTGTATCATCTACTAAATTACCCAATCAGAAAAAGGTGTTTTTTCTCACTGCCCGGTTTAAATTTAAAAAAAAAACCAAAGTTGTCAGTAATTGTATTCATTCTTCAGAATTGTAACGTAAGGAGTTATATGCACAAAGCGAGGTAAATGTTATCTAATGCTGCATAGTTTAGGTTTGAACAAAGAAAAGTATTTGATCAAATCTTTATGTATATATACTTACATAAATAGGTTGCTTACCTCTGATTCACCAAAGCTACACATAAATAGGTTTATTTCCTGTGAAGGTTTATGGGTCAGTCTGGGGTCATTAAGTGTTAGTTGGGCATATCAGTCCGTAGTTAACCGGCCCCAACATTGCTGGCAGAGTGACGTAGCGTTCAGACTTACCTAATGGTCTGGGAGTCGACGTCTATATAGCTGTGAGGCTTTCACAAGTAGAAGACAATTCCATAGAAATGTATCCTTTTAACCTGTATATATGATCTTACACAGCAATACAGAAATCAGATGAAGCCATTTTCAGATTCTATTGTACAGTTGAAACCATTTAAAAGTTTCCATTTGCTAAAATAGTATTGATATATATATATTTGTGATTGTTGTACCTTGTTATGACTTTTGTCTTGTTGATAGTGTTGATGATGTTGTTTTTATGATAACAAGTTTAAAAGAGTCCCATATTAATGTACTGCTCAGTAGAGTATAGCTATTGTCCATGTTTGTTTATTAGGTGTGAACCTGATCTTAAGGTGACCTTGACCTCAATGTTAATGTCTAAGGTGACCTTGGTTACTGTGTATCCAAGGTGACCTTGACCTCCATGCTTTACTATGTTCTGTAGCCATTCCAACTAACACTAAGCCACCACAGAAGGGAGCTAACTGTCAAAAACAAAGCAGTTATAAGGAAGATAAGGTCACTCCAATACATTGTATAAGAAATGCATTGTTATGTTGAAGATGGCCATGGCATAGCAAAGGTGGCCTTTGTATATTTATTTCCAATTAGTAATGCTGCAAGATAGTAGTTAATAACTTCACTAGGAACTGAGAAGTCATTAGTCAATGACAGTCATGGAATGGTAAGATTTACGAACATGGAGAAACAGAGTTGGAATGGCTGTAAAGATGTAGTTAATAATACTGATAGCCACACAGTGTGACTGATGGGTTAGAATGATGCTATAGTCCATACACGTTTTGTTAGGCATTTTCCTGACTTCTAGTTGTCTGTCCATTTACAATAGCTAGGAGTAATAATTAACAAAGAAAAATATTTATCATAATTTCCTTTTTCACATCTTGGCTCCCCAGATATCCTGATGATAGAGCGGCGAGCTTAACCACTGCGGCAGTGTTCACAATTCTAGTTGTGTAACAAAATGTCGCTTTTCTGGAACACTATCAGCAACATTTTCGAAATGTTTTAACTCCGTAAGAAGGCTTGCAACCTATAATTGTCTTCAATCCTTTAAATCAGATATGATGACACGGTAAATTGAATGTTGGTCAAGTATCTGACTAAAGAAGTTGCTTGTTTAAAATACTGACTGGAGTTGTATAGTGATAGTCTATTTTTGTAATAATGTGAGTGAAAGCCTTGTTAGTGTGTCGTGTTACCCCACTATCAAAGCCTTGTTAGTGTGTCGTGTTACCCCACTATCAAAGCCTCGTTAGTGTGTCGTGTTGCCCCACTATCAAAGCCTTGTTAGTGTGTCGTGTTTCCCCACTATCAAAGCCTCGTTAGTGTGTCGTGTTCCCCCACTATCAAAGCCTCGTTAGTGTCGTGTTGCCCCACTATCAAAGCCGCGTTAGTGTGTCGTGTTACCCCACTATCAAAGCCTTGTTAGTGTGTCGTGTTGCCCCACTATCAAAGCCTTGTTAGTGTGTCGTGTTACCCCACTATCAAAGCCTCGGTAGTGTGTCGTGTTACCCCACTATCAAAGCCTCGTTAGTGTCGTGTTGCCCCACTATCAAAGCCGCGTTAGTGTGTCGTGTTACCCCACTATCAAAGCCTCGTTAGTGCGTCGGGTTACCCCACTATCAAAGCCTCGTTAGTGTTTCGTGTTACCCCACTATCAAAGCCTCGTTAGTGTCGTGTTTCCCCACTATCAAAGCCTCGTTAGTGTGTCGGGTTACCCCACTAACAAAGCCTCGTTAGTGTGTCGTGTTACCCCACTAATATCAAAGCCTCGTTAGGGTGTCGTGTTACCCCACTATCAAAGCCTCGTTAGTGCGTCGGGTTACCCCACTATCAAAGCCTCGTTAGTGTGTCGTGATACCCCACTATCAAAGCCTCGTTAGTGTGTCGTGTTACCCCACTATCAAAGCCTCGTTAGCGTGTCGTGTTACCCCGATATCACAAAGGTTAATTATCAACAACACACCTGTTGTTCTATTCTTTTGAGATTCTAATATACAGAACTAGGATGTCAGTTGATTTGTTATCTGTAATAAACAGATGGTGTTTTATTTCTAGCTGTCCAGTCACGAGTTGACAGTCAATAGGAGGGCCAACTTCACTGATTACTAGTCCAGCCATTCAGGGGAAGTGATGGAAATAGGAAATATTAATTTGAAATAAGCAATAACATATTTTGCCCTCTAAGAGATTTATTGAAGCCTTTATTTAGATCAGCCCTTGAACCCTTGTTTCGCCCAAGTGTCCAGTATAGGCTAGGAGCAGGGTCCAAACCAGCAATTTTGTGTACATTTGTTCACTTTGACCAAATCGTTTACGGTTATCATTTTGTTTTTCACCAAAGTTCATTTATACCCAAATACTAGATATTTACTAGACATACATTTTGTCGATTGGTTTCTCAGCAGATATGTGTTTTTCAAAATAATAGAATCATAAAATCATGATGACAGTAGATAAAAGAAGCTGTCATAAGACTTTGATCTGTAATTTTGAAGGATTTAACACACAAAAAATCTGCTATTTGAAAATTACATTTAATGATATTAAAAATTAAATAAATTAAATAAAATTTGAAATGCTTTTAAACTAATTATATTGTAAGTATCAGTTGAAGTTTTTATTTCAGGAAGAGATATTTCTTGTACAATATATTGCTGAAAGAACAGCATTCCTGATACATGTATAGTCGTGACAGGTATTTCAGAGCACTGGAATTGATCTCAAGGATCATCGGTGCCTACAAGTCTCTTGCCGTCTCACAGCTTATGTACAGATTTTGTTGTCAATGTTATGTTACCATGTTTACCAGGTGTTTTTTTTAATCATTACAATCTTTATTGATTACAGATTATTTTATGATTAAATAAAGGATAACGTTAAATTTTGAAAAATGTTGTTTTATACTTTTCTAATTTCCCAATATCATGGACAAATGATGGTACATGCAAAGTTTCTGTAATTGTAACCTTGACTTTCAACACTGACTTTCTACTAGTCTGTAGAGATTGATGTCAGGAACACCGGAGTTTCATGAAATTTGTTTAAAACCCTTTGTTGGGGTGGTATAGACGCGACATATGTACTAGCTCTCCAGTATCTTGTACAGGTTCTGCAGCTGTGAGTTCTTACATACCATCTTGACTTTCAACTGGACTGCAGAGATTGATGTCTGGGACATTTTGTTAAGTTTTATAAAACTTTGTAAAATGCAGTCGGACAAACCAGATGTTGACAGACCGTGCTACGGACGGATGGACAGGATGACGCCAATATACGCTTTGCCAATGGCAGACTTATATATAAAAAGATTGTACAAGTTATGGTACAGACAAAAAGTTACAGGAGGAAGATGAAGAACATGACAGAATGAAAACACCATGTCTCCATTCTCATGAAAAGGACATATAATTAATATAAAGAGTACACGCAAAACATATACATGGTTTTCATTGTGTATTTTTTTTCAAAACATGTTAAAACGTATTAAATTTGATCAATACATGTATAAAGCTGATAACATTAAATGAGGATATTTACATACAAACAAGTGCTTATGAACACTTGAATCATCATAATACAAACTAACAAATCCCCTTGAGCAGAGTAATTGTTTGATCTACACTCTCAGCGCAGAAAACAATATTGTATAACAGTGAAAATAAGAAATTCCCGTGATCAATCAGTGCTGTATTTTGAAATATTGGCTAAAACATTAAATCAACGAAAAATTAACTTCATGGAAATTATTTTTATTTTCAGTAACATGTACGTTGAATGGCACAAATTATATATGAAGAAGATATTAAATATGATGGACTCTCTTCAGTCAGCTCTTCAGCCATACATACATAGTATATACCACGACATTTACAGAATAACTAGTAATTTCTACAACAGGTTATAATAATGATGTTACAATGTCACACCATTACATTAATAACAAATTACTTGCGGAAAAAAAAAAGATATTTTGAGGCTCACTACCTGAGGTATAAGTTTGTACACTTGAGTGAGTACTAGACTACTCTAGTACACTGAAGTGACTAGAATCTAATGTGTGTAAGGAGCGAGACGGGTAATGCACTACAGAAATAAAAATGAAGACCGAGTAACAATCACAACAAGTTTACAAATACCAAACAATTAACCTCCAAACATACCTACTTTTGCTATTAATTGATTAATAAACAAGATGTTTGGAATAGATCTTCTCCTAAACAAAACGAAATAAGATGTATAATGATATCAATGTTTTAACGCCTTTCCTGTCCATGCAAGCAGAACTTCTGAACAAATTCATAGGACTGCTTAAATCTAAAATGCTGTCATATTATTTGATCAAAAAGATAAAAACATGACAGAATTGATAAAAACCATGAATTTTTGGCTCAACAGAACATCAGTCTAGTTCTACTTCCCATTGGATTCTATCAACCTAGACAGCTGTACAGACTGGAGCAGTCTCACCACTCACTGAGGAGGTTGGTACCATTGGGATTCATCTACCATGTTTGGGAGTCAAACTTTCAATCTCTTGCATTTACCTCTTGAGAGAATCAACTCATATAGAAGATGGACTTTAAACAGTCGCATCTAATCTATCTCTTCAGGGAATCAATAAAGCAGTGCTCAAATCCTCCAAATACAAGTATTCCTAGCCGGAGTGACATCTGCCACTTGACATCCAAGGTGAGCTGACTTAATAGATTCTAGAGGAGTTATCACAATAGAGGCACTTTGACTGGTGGCCCTACGATAGGCCCTATAGCACACTGGTTCACCTGTCCACTCCAGAAAGCATTCAACGTCTTATTTAACAAATAGCCCAAGATTTGTTAAACATGTGACGGCAGATGTTGTGCGACAAATTAGTAACTATGACAACTGTCAGCAGTAAGGGTCACCTGTCCACTGAACAAGGCATTGTGTGATGTAGGAACACATCTAAAGTTGATGATATGTTTAACAATTAATTAGAAATGGGAATGATTGTCACTATAAGTCTTTGAGAGCTGCTAACTGTCTCTCTATGTCTGCCTCCGCGTTAGAACCCGATGCCTCTCCAACCTTTCCCCTGTGTATCGGAGCATCAGCCAGCTGTAAAATATATACAAATCATTTTGTGTACTGTTATCATGTATTTTGCTGAAATAATTACATGACAGTTATAGGAATAAATATAAACCAATTCTTGTCTATGCAAGTAAACTGGACTCTTAAATTTGTAGGTAATACTTTGACTAGCCCAAATCAAGACATAAGCATTTTTCTTTCATTCCAAAGTCACATAAAGGATAATTTCAAAATCTTCAGTGATTCCTATTTACAATATATGTAAACTAAGTTTTTCACATTCCAATCATGAAATGTAATTCCCAGTAGTAAAAGACTCTATTGATTTTTAATACAGAAACTTGTGTGAGAAACACCAACAGGTGTTATTGATAGTACCCGATTTTCTACATCGACCACTCAGTCTGAAGTAGGCGGTCTTTACCTTGCCGGACATGTCAATGCCGATCTCGTCCAGCACCTGAGACACAATGGCATCAGATTCCTCCTCATCTCCAGACTCGCCAAGAATGTCATCCAACGTGTCGTTTACTACAAATACATAGGTTTGTTGATATATGACAGAATATTAGGATTAATTTCTTACAATAAAATATACAGGGTCACTCAGTGCAATCTGATAAAAATACATGAAAATCTAGTGATATCACTCTGAAATGTGAAATCAAAGACGTTGAACGAAATTGTGAATCCTCCATCCATCGATCGACTAGAGACACACGAGGACATGGCAGTGTCATAAGATACACAAAACTTTAACAAGTATCAAACCTGTCACAGAAGTCCATGTGTACATTGATCGACTAGAGACACACGAGGACATAGCAGTGTCATAAGATACACAAAAACTTTAACAAGTATCAAACCTGTCACCGAAGTCCATGTGTACATCGATCGACTAGAGACACACAAGGACATGGCAGTGTCATAAGATACACAAAAACTTTAACAAGTATCAAACCTGTCACAAAAGTCCATGAAAAATTATTTTCAAGAGACATAATATAATCAGTAGGGGATAGTAAAGATAAAGATATCAATACAAAGTAAACGATACCTCTGACAAGTATTTTTTTACATGGGAAGCAGGTCAATTTTGCTACGAGATCATCAGTAAAAGTACACAGGTTATATCTGGACAATGGATACCAGACAACTTACTCATCTCCTCCGACATCTCCATTTTCATGGACTCTTTGGTGAAGTCCTGCATGGTCTTCGCTGTCTTTACAGGGTCCATCACCTTATTCATCTGCTGCATCGTCTATAAACAATCCAATTCTCTTTGTTAAGGAAGGTGACCTCAAAAGCTGACATATACACACAAATCAAATAATATTGATTATATACGTTCTTAAGAATTTTACTTGGAACATTTCAGAGAGATTGTCTAATAACAGAATCAGGTACTGCTAGCTAGTGTACAGGTGTGTGAGGGCAGTCCAGCAGTAAATCAATGTCAATTCAATTCATTTATTAACTTTCGGCCTTACGGCCCATCAGTACAAACATATCAATACAATGCATAATATACACAATAACACGGCTCACAATATACAGTGAGAGAGTGGAGTAAATAAATTAGATTCTTAACTTATTAGCTTCAAAAATATATTTACCAAGTTGACATAATTCCTTAGTATTGTTAACACACAATAATTGTATAAATTTAAACATGGATGGCTTTTTCCAGTAGTACTTTTTAATAAGGCGACTTCTTAAGTTTTGGTAGGTTTTACATATCAGAATAAAATGGTATTCATCTTCGACTTCTGTAGCCGAATTACAGTTCGTACAATATCTCTGTTCTCGAATAACGTTGCGATATCTACCGGTCTCGATTGCTAATGAATGTGCAGACATTCGTAACTTTGTTAGACTAATTCTATAATTCTTAGGAATATATTTGGTTAAATAATACTGAATGGAAAAGTGGTCTACGATACACTTGTATAAAAAACACTTAGAGGAAGTCTCTAGTAAACCTCTTAAATGTTGTTGGCCTTGGTCAAAAATTCTTTGACGAATAAGCGGTAAAATTAATTTAACATTAGTCGACGATTGGCTTAACCATACATCACCAAAGCCCAAAGCAAATAATTCATTTTTTACATGGTGTACCCAGTTAAAGCAAGTACATGTAATCTGTTTTGATAAAAAAGAATATGCACAGTTCAGAATACAATTTTTCGAGTCGAGTAACTTAAACCAATACTTAATGATTCTGTATTTTCTGATACATTCTAAAGGCAAGCGACCAAGTTCGAAATATACCATTGCATTACATGTGGATTTTTTAACTTTGAGGAGTCTCTTACAGAAATTCAAGTGCACATTCTCAATGTCTATTCCTTTTATGGATCCCCATACTTCACATGCGTAACTTAATATGCTAATAACATATGTATCGAACAAATGTAACATGGTCTTAAAATTAAGACTAAGATTGGAGCATTTTGATAATAAAGCAAACATAGCTTTACGACCTTGGTCAGCTAATTGTTTCTGAATACTATTGAACTTATTGTTAAACTTAAATTGCACACCTAGGTATGTAAATTGATCAACACAACTAACCGTTTTGCCATTATAAAACCAAATTTCATTATTTCGAACTTTCCCGCCTTTTCGAAAAACCACAATTTTTGTCTTATCAATATTGACAGTTAATTTCCATTTCTCAGAATAACTAGCGAGATTATCCAACAGTTCCTGTAAACCCTCAACCGTCTCCGATAACAACACTAAATCGTCTGCGTATAGCATAAGAAATAAGCTTAATTCTCCAAAGGTATAATAGCTACTACAATTCGAGATAAAAAACGATTCAAAATCATTCACATACATGGAAAAAAGTATCGGAGACAGAATTTCCCCTTGCAATAATCCGATATCATTATCAAAAAAGTCTGATAAGCAGCCTTTGAATTTCACACAAGACCTAACATGATTATATATAGACTTGATGACTTGCAGCAGCTTCCCTCTTACTCCCAACTTCGATAACTTATACCACAAGTTGATCCTATCAACGTAGTCGAACGCCTTTCTAAAATCCACGAAACAACAATATAGATGTTTATTTTCACTAAAAGATTTTGTAATAACTGAATGCAGAGCGAAAACGGCATCAACAGTGCTAAGACCAGGACGAAAACCAAACTGTGCGTCAGTAATAACAGCTGTACAGTGGTGGATATCAACACCCACCTCCGTAAGAATGTCTCAATAATTACCTTTGTTGTTGTAGCCATGGCAGTTCCCATTTTCATATTTGAATGCATCACCTGAAGGACAATGAAATGACATACTTTAATGCATCACCTGAAGGAGAATTATATAGATGTATTTTAATGCATTGTCTAATCTGTTGGTCACGCAACTGAAATAATTTTTTATGGTGTTTTCAATTTACGATTTGCAGTTGACTGCATTCACTGCAAGTATATTTCTGATGGGGTCCTTATTAATTTTCATCTGACATGATATAAACAAATTGACATGTGGTACTATTCATCTGACATGAATCTGACATGATATAAACAAATTAACATGTGGTACTATTCATCTGACATGATATAAACAAATTGACATGTTGTACTATTCATCTGACATGACATAAACAAATTAGCATGTGGTACTATTCATCTGACATCAATCTGACATGATATAAACAAATTGCCATGTGGTACTTTTCATCTGACATGATATAAACAAATTGATATGTGGTACTTATTCATCTGACATGATATAAACAAAATGAAATGTGGTACTATTCATCTGACATGATATAGACAAATTGACATGTGGTACTATTAATCTGACATGATATAAACAAATTGAAATGTGGTACTATTCATCTGACATGATATAAACAAATTAACATGTGGTACTATTCATCTGACATGACATAAACAAATTAACATGTGGTACTATTCATCTGACATGATATAAACAAAATGACATGTGGTACTATTCATCTGACATGATATAAACAAATTGACATGTGGTACTTTTCATCTGACATGACATAAACAAATTGACATGTGGTACTATTCATCTGACATGATATAAACAAATTAACATGTGGTACTATTAGTGCTATAGGTAACACTCAGCATCAACTAATTCAAATATTTTCAGTTTTCGTATATCACAATAACAACACTTAAACCTTTAAACTGCCTTTGAACCCATGCAATGTCAGTAAATGTGAGAGCCTACCTTTTGTTGTGTTCCTATAGAGTGTATTTTGGAGCCGACAGAATAACTCTTTGTTCGCTGTTTCCTCATGTTTATGAGCTGTTTGGCAAGAACTGTGGCTGCCTGCTTGTTGCCTTGTTTGGCAGCTTTTTTGATTTCTAATTCCTGTGGCAACATAATACCAAAAGTAAAATATATGTTATAATAAAATCATCTGCTCGCATTACAATCAACATTCAATACAAGTGTACTCTTCACTACACCTTACCTGCTGAACTTCACATGGAAATCAATAGGTTTCTGATCATGACATTAATATTGACAAGCTTAAGGGACTTTGATTTGCAAATGATCCATGTCAAATAAGTCATTTCTGGAGTCCAATGGGAATAACTAGTTAGTGGTCAGTTTTACCACTTCTCTAGATCTATGAACAACTTGATCTGCTAGGCTCATAAATAACAAGTTAAAAAGTTGGTAGAACCGAACTATTGTCTGGTCATAGCTATAGGTTTCCGCGCGATATATAATTTTGTGCAGACATTTCATCAAGCTGTATCTTACAGGGTTCTCCCCAGGCCATTTAGCTGATACGGCTCCGTATCAGCTTCAGTTTGAAATCCTCCCTGCCGTATCAGCTTAATTGACCCGTATCACCTTAAACTGTGAACCGTATCACCTTGTTATTTGTACTGAACAGAAGGTGGTCTTTTTACACAAGAAATTGACACTGATTAAATCACACGGCTGACCCAAGTCCATCAATGACCCCACTGGTCAGTTGCACGATAAGCGTATTGCAACAGGGGGCCTGTAATTAGTGGGGAGGGGGACCGGACGACAAGCCCACAGGGCACAGGTGTCCGGCAAGCGTGCTCACTGGAGCCTAAAGCAATTACCACCGGATCCTTTTAGCATGGTCAATAGGTGATTAATTGAGGTACCTACTGTTGGATTAACAAAACAAACACTTATTACATCTATTATAAATTAATTTACTCACATATGATTGCATTTGACAACGCTGAAATAGCGTGTGTATTCAGTTAGTGATGGTCGCCATCTTGGATTGTGTAAAGTACAAACCGGAAAGGGGAATGAAATTCCGGATTTGTCGTTTTTAATGAAGAAGAGCTCAAATAAAAATGCTGTTTTAATCTTTGATCACATTTACTGACAGCAGTATTTAATATAGTTTTAGAGGAAATAAAAACACTGTACATTTTATTAAAACATTTTCTCTTACAATAATAAGAACTATGATATAAACTTGTTCATGTAAGTGTTTCCCCCTATAGCTTTTAAATATTTCTTCTTTAAATTATTTTTAATGGGGATTAAGTAAGGGATACAAATGTAAAGATAAGAGACAAATGTCACAAATGTCATATCTATTATTCAATGTACAAAACTCATCCACCTTTCTATAAATTGTATTTTTTTTCAGAATATATTGCTGAAAATTCAGACATAAGAAACACTTATTTATTTCCTTGGTTTTAATGTTCACCAAAAGAAGTTTGGTAAATAAAAGTAACTTTTTAAACATTATATTGCACCCCCCACCCCCCTTAGGTTTGATAAGGTATTATAAGGTATTATATTAGCGTGTCCGTCTTGAATGTTCGTTGCAAATGAAACATATCGGCTTAAAAAAATTCTGGGGAGAACCCTGTCTTATTACTACTTGACCTGCTTGAGACTACAAGAGGATATTTTAGACGGTTGACCATCATCTTTAAACTGACTAAAAATTACCAGACGTTCGTTCAACTTCTAAAAACATAAGAATTTGTAAACATGCAGTTATGCTTAATACACTTTTTATCTTGCCGTATAGGAGACAATCTCATATCCATTAACACTGTTCGCCAAGAAATGTAAATCTTGTTTTGCTGTGAACACCCATTTTTAATCATTTTTAAATATGAAAGGATGAAAAATAACTTACCCTCAAAGAAAACCAATAAAATAAATAAATTTATCAAACTATATGAATTTGTTCAAGTTGACATATTTAAATATCAATAAAATGTGTGCAATATTGAAAAAGTTATTTCGATAATTAATTTGACGATCAAAGATTTATTATACTTGAAATATCCAGCGAAACATTTGTTGGTGCGGGCCACTGTGGAAAATCTCTTTTTAGTGTATTTGAGTTGTCATTCTTTTAAGTGCGTGGAAACTGATAACACGATATATGTGATATTATTATACTGACAGCTTTAGAATGGTGCATTTATAAGAGTGTAAAGGACTTGTATATTTCATCTTGAGAAACTAGCTGGTACAAAATGTAAGGTAAAACAATTGCAAAGTGAAATAAAATACACACCAATTTTTTTTCTTCCCTTTCCAGTTTCTCTCTGTCCCTACCCAAGTCTCTTTCTGTTTTACGAAGTTCTCTGTCATTCTTCTTGATTTGTTCTGTTTAAAAAAATGATATCTTTGCAATTATGTATACATTATGCATTTCCCTTATCATTCAGAATCAATTTTTTTTCATCATTTAGGATCATTTACAAAAATAGTCATGTACTACTACTGTACTTGTACTTGCATTTGCGGTCTGTTGAGTTATGAAACAGAACACCATGTGAAAGTGTGTCAGATGGACACGTGAACACTGCACTTACACAGAACACCATGTGTAAGTGTGTCAGATAGACACGTGTACACTGGACTTAAACAGAACACCATGTGTAAGTGTGTCAGATGGACACGCGTACACTGGACTTGTACTTGGCTGTCTGTTGAGTTATGAAACAGAACACCATGTGTAAGTGTGTCAGATGGACACGTGTACACTGGACTTAAACAGAACACCATGTACCAAATATACAGGTACATGCAGCTCAGTTGCTCACATGTCCAGATTTAAATTTTGGCACATTTCATTTTACTCCGTATACATATCAAGATCTAATTGGTACCACAACAAGTCTGTATGTGCTCAATTGTTTCATGCTTCATTGTAGAGGTACCCAAACAAGGCCTCTAATCAAGTTAATAATAATATGATGGTATATAGGTTAGGGATCACCCATCATATGAGGGATTGCTCATCTTCTTTCAGAAATTTTCTCTTCATGGGGACAGAAATGTCCCACTTTTCTGAGAAAATCTAGAATGAAAACACAAACCGTTTTGTAATAATCCCCAAAAGGGTCAATATTATACGACACCTGAACGGTGATCTAGATCTTACTCCTTTTTTTGCAGACTAATTTGTATTACTGCACTTAAATGTGTGTATCACTATCAGAACTGGACTGGGCCAATTGTCGTCGACCAGGTAGCTCAAATGGTAGAGCATCAGTCTACTAGAGTTTGGAGGGTTCTGGGTTCGAATCCCGGTCTGGCTGCTGCATTTCTCTTTCTCCTGTTACATGTGAATACATCAGGCCCAGTAAACTCTGTCGATTGAGCTATATACCTGTAAAGATCTAAAATAGTATTATTGACCTATCTGAAAAAGGTCTTTTGAGCTATTTTCATGTGATTTTGTTTTTGAAGGAAAACGAAACAAAGTCGCTTTTAAAAGAAGGTTTTATCATTAGTCTGATAACAAAAGACATTTTTTTTTTTTTTTAAATAATGATGTAAAAAAATCGGAAATTTTACATTTATGAAAAATAAACATCTAAACGTATACTTTTTGTAGTCAACATTACCATTAACCTTATTGTTTTATGCGACTTTGCTTTGATTTAATGAAAATTGAAATCTGAGAAATTATATAGCTCAATCGGCAGAGTGTACTACTGGACCTGTACATTTCCAAAAAGGGGCCCTTTTTGCAACAATTGATATAAAACAAAGAGAGAGAAACAGTAAGAATGACTGGAAAGAGATGTACATTCTCTCATACACATGCCACATACACTCGGCACCCTGAAGGGTAGTCCGCTAAAACTGACCAACAATTCTGATCGGTACCCTGCGATTATGGTCAGTTTTAGCGGACTACCTGAAGGACTGCAGGCTAGGTACGACCAGACATGTAAATATATAACATACTCTGCTACGACTTGATAATCAGCTTGCTGACACTTATGAGCTGATTCTACATCCTTTTTGTTTTTATGATTTATTAGACCTTAACTGTCAGCTAGCAACATGTATACATGTCTGTTAAATTGAGATACTGACCAAAACATGAACTGCTGAATCAATGTACATGTAAACAAAACCAGGAATACTTACGTTCCACAGTTGGTTTCTTGGAGAAGAACGACATAATAACAAATTATAATATGATTTTTTAGAATACAGTGTTCTCTCCAGACTAGCCTTTCGAATGCTATCACTATTGTCTCAGATATGACTCAGTGTTCATGGAATATATTTGTTGATTTTCATGTGATCATGACACAATCCGGAAATGTATTACTAAAATTTGACATGCGCGCAATGGTCAAATTAAAACTAAGCAAAAATCACATGCCGGTTTTATGATTCCGGATTTGTTTTTCAATTGGAATTATGTTTTTCCATATTGGCTTGGGTGCCAGCTCAATTTTATAAATTTATAGTATATATATAAATAAATATCATTTTTCTCTCGTCTAAGTAATTAATGTTGCCAACTCCAGGAAGTAAGTAAATGGGATCATTGATAAGTAATTTTGGCAAAATTTAATCTGGCGACCTTTTGTCCACTAAATAAATATTTCCTTGGTCAACAGAATGCCAACCAAAGGAAACAAGTAGATCAATAATAAATCAATAGATTTCCGCCCCATATTTATTGTAAAATTAGACTGACTTATCCTCCTTCTCAAAAGATTGTCAACGTTTGGAAATCATAGAAAGTTTGATAATAATTCAATGGGTAATATGCAATAAAACATAAATCTATTTATTTCTCAAGTTAATAGATTGTCAGCCTCAAGAAATAAGCAGATTATAATAAATCAATAGACAATGATCAAATTGTAGGTCTATTTTCTTTTTCCGGTAGGAATAGTGTTATTTCGACAAAGTATATTGTAGAAATCTTTCGACCCTTTACTGTTTCTCATGAAAATTTCTAAATTAGTCGGTAGTAATGGGTAAGAGATGCTCTCATCATCTAATCGTATCTGTGCTGTATATTCCCTGATGGATTTTACAATGCTATGGTAAGTTAGGAAGTTAGAGTTGATATTATATTTTCTCTTAAATTCCTGAAAATTGTAAAAGGTATATGTATTTGGAAATTTAACTACATCATTAACAATAACAATTCCTTTGTTATACCATTCTTTATAAAATACCATTTTTCCATTTACAGTAAAATTTTCATTAAACCAGATAGGTGTTTTCAAAACTGAATCATTCCCATTTACCAAAGTCTGTTCTTTCTCTTTAAGACA